TTTTGTAAAGGATGGTTGGGAAGAAACCAGTAAATAATAAAAATTTCTTTCCCTTTCCTCTGACATAATTCCTCAGAGGCCATAGGTTGCATTGCCTTTTGAAAAAGTAAGAAGTATCAAGGTCTATATCACTAATATGATTTTTACCTGAGAATATTACTGAGGAAAATAATTTCAGAAAAACCAGTTTCCGCCAAAGCAGAGGTTAAAAATAGCCAGCAAATACTATACAGATGGCTAAACAGATCTAACACACTGCTGTGTAGAGACACAGATTAGTCTACCTCTAGGACACTGCTCTTCTCCACAGACATTATCTTTGGATACAAGTAGAAGAACAAGAATTGCGGGGGTGAAGAAGAATGAGATTATTTTTTTCAACCCTTTCTGTGTCTTTTTATAACACTACACTGAGTTCTGCTGCAGGTTTTGAAACTGAGGGTTTCACTCTGCATACACAATTTGAACAAAGAGCAAGACAAAAAGATGGCAGCAGCCTCCTACTCTGAACACCTCCTCACTTTGTCAAGAAGGGAAAGCTAAATCAAAGAAAAACAATACCTAAATTCTAAACAGTAACAAATCCTCAGGATGTAATTTCATTCTTTCTTTATTTTCTCCTTCCAGTTGAAGGCTCCTAGATACCCACGAGACTGGAGAACTTCATCTTTTTCCTCCAAACCATGTAAAAACAGCTTTGGTACTGAAATCACAACTTCTCAGCTAGAACAATGTGCTCAGAGTAAGTAAAAGAAAAAAAAATGCTCTCTACCACATTCTGTGTCTCTTTTTAAAAGTTAGTTCGCTTTAGCAATTGAGTTTGAATATTATGTTACCTAGCAATAGGTAAGTTCTGTTTCTGAAAAGTTTAAAATTATCTTCTATTTGTTTTCAGGAACTATGAGACTTGCTGATGTGTATTTTTCCTATATGACTGAGAATCCACATAAAAATTATGTCCTTTCAATGCCCCCCACCCCCCCAAAATGAAGCTTAGTCTTAATGCAAGTGAAGCATACAAGGCACAGCTGTGATGGGCATTTGGCCATTTCAGGAAGATTACCCCCGATTCTGTAAAGAAAGGGAATTTAGGGCACAATTTAGTGAGCAGCTGGAAAACAAACAATGCATTTAGCCAAAATCTCAGCAACAATAAGCTAGAAATTACAGTAAGCAAAATATTAAATTTTAAATAAAGACTGATATAAAATACTAAATGAAAAGGAAAAAGACAACGTTTTTTGCTGCTGAGATCAGTGTCCATGAACTTCAGAGTACCAGATACTCAGCTTCTTCTCAGTACCTCATGGTAAGATGATGAATTCTTGATTACCATTTATGTTTGCTTAGTTTTGCTATAGCCTTTTGCTCAAGTTTTCATGTTATCCTTCCCCATTCCTAAAAGCTTTAGGCTGAGAAAAGCAGGCTGAACTCAGGTACCTTTTGTACAAAGAGCACTGCATTTGAGAACTTTGGGAAAGCCACGGTCATGTTAGTCAATGCTGCACAGGTTACCCAGCTCCATAAAAGCATCATCTCATCTCCAAAGCCTGATGACTGGCAAGGTACCTCAATCAGGATTTTGGGGGAATAAGGAGATGAGAACAATAATCTTCTCAAAAAGTAACTGCCAGAACTCACTTAGTTTTTACAAAGTTTTTTGACTTGTGCAAACACAGAGTTTCATAAATCACAAGTCAAAGAACCTGAACATAGTTGAAGTTGACAGACATTGTTGAGAGAGAAACTGAACACAAAACAAGTTTCAAAGGATGGCCATGCCAAATAAGACTGGATAGTTTGGAGAAATAGAACTGAAAGATGAAAGATGCACTGTAGTGGGACCCACAAGGGGCAGTTTAGATAAGTGGCTTTAAGGCATCTACAGCATGGAGTGGCTAAAGCTGACAGGCCAAGAAACACTTAAAATGTCTTGTAATTAGGAAATAGTTGCGCTTCTAATTGTGATGGTGTCAATTATAACAGCTGTATTTTCACCCTTCATGTGAGACTGAAAATGGAATAAACATGTTTTAAATGCCTCTCAGTTGCCCCACCTCTGGGTCAGAAAAGGTTATAATCTGACAAATGAAAGTTGGGTTTGGGGTTTTTTAAAGGTTATTACAGAACAGCTGCATTTTTTTTGAAGAGCCTTGACAACGATTCTAGAGCTTGCTAATCATTGCTGTAATGTAAGAAATGCTGTCTTATGAAAAAGGACTAACACTGTGGCTTCAAGACTTCTAATGCTTTTGTAAATGTTGACTTGACAGTTGAAAAAATACATTTTTATACTAATTAATTACCTTTGAGCCTGACTAAACTAGACTTTTTACAGTCTGAGACAGCACCACTCATTACTGCACACAAGACTGGCATTAAATGCAAAACCTCTACTGCAAGGAAGTAAATTTATTATGTGATTATCAGAATGGAAAAAGCACTTTGAATTATTTATTTTCAACTAACCAGTCAAAGAGAAGAACTTGAATGAGGCAAAATCCAATAAGTGACCTCATGATTTATGTATAATGAATACCACTTCCTATCATAATTTACACCATACTGCACTATAAGAACAACAAAAAAAAAGTTTGTCAATAACTGAAAGAGAACCAAGTGAGAGAAATCTTGGTTCATCTGATCCACAAAATATAGAAAAATATTGGTTGCATGATAAAGAAATAAATTTTAAAAGTTCATTGAGAGAATTACCTTTTTTCTAACATGAACATAATACAGGTTTTATGGTGATGGTAATCAAAATTGGAAATTCACCTTTATATTTGTGGACCAGCAAAGAGCTTCTGTTTGGCAATTAAATTCCAGACAAAAAAAAAAAAACAACTCAATACACAGACCGAACCTAAGTTGTATCAGCACCTAAAACACCAGATCCTTGCTCACAATTACAAATAATATTCTTACTCTGCTTTTGTACTTGGGTAACAGAATGACACGAAGACTAAAACCTAAAAACAAACCTACTAACAACCGCAGTGAACTCTGGAGGCTGAACGACCTGTCCGTATCACGCATGTACGCATCTTTAGACTCACCTGTACGGTGAGAACCAAAGCAGCACCGCCCTTCGCGAAGGAACGCTTGGGCGGGGCCGGGCCGGGCCCTTCGGCCCCCAGCCCCGGGGCGCGGACAGCTCCGGGCTCGGCCCCGCCGCAGCCGCATTGACGCCCAGCAAAGCATCCAAGAGCACCGGTGCGCCTCCAGAGCAGGAGCGGGCACGGCCGCATGCCGGCATCCCGGGCAGGGTGCGGGCACACACACAGAACGCGCCGGCACCCACGGGCGATCCCGCACGGACACCGCGGCCAGACCTGCGCGTCCCCCCTCAGGCTGCCCTCTCTGAAGATGCCCTCCCCTGAGGCTGACATCCTTCAGACTGCCCACCCTGAGGCTGCACCCCGGAGGTTGCCATCCCTCAGGCTGCCCCCTCTGTGGCTGCCATCCCTCAGGCTGCCCCCCCCGAGGCTGCCCTCCCCGCGTACCCGCTCCCGCAGGGCAGGCAGGTGCGGTGGCCTCCCGATGGGTGCGCTCGGCAGGGCTCGTACTGACCTTTCTGCTGCCGAAAGGACTGGATGGAGCCCGAGTGGTGAACCATGCTGGCGGAGCGCAGCCTCCCAGCTGCCAGCCCGCCGGCTGCGGCGGCGGGGGGCGGGCACCCAGCGGCGCGGCCCGGCCCGGCGCGCAGCGGAGGCCGGGGGAACGAAGGGCCCGGGGAATGGCGGCGGCAGCGGCCGCGGGGGAGGCGGTCACGCCAGGCCCGGGGGGCGAGGGGCGGGCGCGGAGCCGGGGCTGCGCCTCCGCCCGCAGCCCGGGCCGGGAATGGTGCCAGCGGGAATCGGTGGGAAAGGCTGTGCGCACCCCGCTGAGGAGAAGCGCTGGCCGCAGCCCCGTTATCCCTATTGCCTGGCTGTGCCCTCGTTCTCCCTTTTTAGAAAACATCAGGTGTTCCTATTGAGGTGGAGGGCAGCGAAGTAAAAATTGCATCGGCTTTATGCGGTAACGGCTGCGTTTGAATCTCGACGTTGTGAGTTAAGTTGGTGTTACATCGCTTCCATCCCCGTCCTCACACCGCGTCCCTAAGTTGCATCACAGCTTTTTTTATTTCTATGTGTTTTATAAAACTTAGAGTCTCAACCTTACTGCAGATAATTTTTTACAAGATACTAAATTACAAACTCAAGCCTGATGTGGCCCATTTCTATGCTATTTGTATCATAATCTCCCCTTTCTCTACAGTGTGTGCCAGTAGCTCATTCTAGACAACAGAAGATTCAAACTAAAAAGGGTTTTATTTCTTTCCTTGTTGCTCTCTGATCACATTATTCTCTCTGGATTCTGAATAAGTTTTATGATAGTATCCCTCAATCCCTGTAGAATGCTTTGGATTTCTTTTTAATTTTTTTTTCTACCACAATATTCTGGAGGGTTTGGTCCTCCTAAATTAATTCAGTCAAATATCGTAGCCTGCATCTAGGAGTATCTATATCCTCTTCTCCATTTAGGGATACAAATATCATTTACTCATTAGAAGTCAATTCAATCACCTAACTAGCACAGGTTACTACAGTATTCCTTCAAAGTCTGTGGCTCCATTTGTGTCCTGTCAGATTTCCTGTGACAGTAAAGGCAGAACTTCCCCATAGCTGGGGCTTGTCATGTACAATGTGCCAAAAAAATTACATAAATGCTACCCCATACTACAGTCTGTACTATAAATTTTACTACTTTGTCTATATGGGTGTAGTTAAGCAAACAAGATGGATACGCACTTTTTGTGTGTGTGTAAGAATGTTTTTGCACTATGAAAACGTATTAAACAACCATATATAAACCAATACATCCATGCATGTAGAAAGGCAGACAAAAATTGCATCCTAACTGGTGAGGTATTCCCCAGCACTTTTTTCAGAGTACACAGATATTGCTCTTACATAACATGCAGCTGACACATCCATAAGGGGAAAAAATAAACTTACCTCCTCAGGATAGCTGACCACATTTCAGGCTGCTCTGCGACATTTGCAGAAGGTTTGTTGTTAGTTTAAGAAAAGATGCAGAAGCTGTAGTGCTATAGTATGGATCTTACTCATTTTTTGGTCTCCAGTGGCAGTCTGCACAGTGAAGGTAACAGATGAGGCATTCCTCTGCACTCCTGCAATTTTAGAAAAGCTCCTCAGAACAGCTTTTTCCTGCTGACATACAGCACTATAAATGTTGCATGGCAGAGTAAGTCAGCCAGCTGACTTGCTGATCAACAAGTTCTGGCAAACTAAAAGAAAGCTAAAAAGAGGTAGAATAAAATCTTTGTTGTTTACTTTCAAGCTTTAATGTAGACATCAGAGTGGACTCATGGAGATTAAAACCAAATCTATTCCCTGAAGGTCAGCCAGAAAAAACAAAGAGTGTGTGTAATAAAACCTATAAACTTAATAAACATGTGCAACCTGTAACAAGCAAAGGTAGTTCTTGCACTGTAATGGTCTAAACCTTTGCCAGGTTCTAGGACAGATCTATTTTTTGGGAAACCTTGGCTGACACCTTTTGACTTGCCTACAAAGTAGAAGAACAGTGTGCATTGTGCTCCTTCTCTTAGCAGCACAAAATAAAAGAGGGCCATTGCTGGCTCTCCAATGATATTAATGACAAAATGCAGAGGGGAAGGAGAGGGACTCACAAGTAAAATTAAAGAAGAAAAAGATTATCATACTCAGTCTTGGAAAAGAGGCTGTCAGCTGCCTGGTACTCAGTGCCATCCTTCTAATTTCTGGTCCACAATCCTCCACAATGACTTACAGAACTCCTGAATCCAAGCAGATTTCACTGACACTAGTAGATTTCAAGTAGATTTCACTGACATAATACACAAAACGATGGGAAGAGGAAGCCAGAGTACGGCAGTGCTCAGAAATCCTGTACTGGATTAAATGCTGAGACTAGAAAATTATAAATTATATACATTATAAAGCTCTATTTCTAACAGTAGGTGGTATGTATGCATCAAACTACAGATAAGGCATTTGAAGCTAAGATCTGCAAAAGAGAAGAAAAACTACTTCTACAAAGGTAATTAATTTTTAAATTAAATCCTTCACAGTGTCAACTGACTTAATAATTGTAAAATATGATCATATGAGGTTCTTGAAATATAGTTCTTTGGTAAGTAAGGAGAGTTTGAAGATCTTTTTAAGGTGCAGATAACACAACAATTAAGAATTGATGGCTAAGATATGTAAGAAATGCATACATCCTTAGGCTTCATATTCATTGGCTACATTGGCTTTGAAGGCCATTGAAATAAAAATCTACCCTCATAAGCACTATCTAATAAAATATTTAGTTCTATTATGCTATGTCTCACATTTATCTCTTAGCAAGCTTTTATAAATAATTTCTAAAACCAATGAAAGATGGAGAGATCAGGATCAAACAGAACTAGATTAAAATCTTCTACCTTGACAATCAACAGAACCACAATCATGACTTAAAAGCTTAAGGCTGATCACATTGAATTTTTTAACTAAGTTTTAGGTTTTTGGTTTTGACAGTGAGATTAATTCTCTGTGATAGACATCATTTTTCATGAGATATTTCCTTATATCTTCTGACAAAGACTAAGATTTGGTCTTGCTTCATCATAATACATATAGCCTTATGAAAATCTGTATTATTTGAGATCTGCAAAACTTTGAAATTATGAGAACAGGAGGACTGAGTTGTTTTGCCACAAGAACAGGCTATGAGAAAGAGATGCTTTAAATTAATTTTTGTACTTTCACAGTGCTTTTCAGAAAGTCAGAGGAAACAGAACCCTAAATTAAAGCCTAATTCACCTGTGTTGTGTCTTATGCCAAATATTTCCTTAAGAAATACAGCCACCTCAAAAGTTGACTATAGCCACTGTTAAGTATTGCCCGGAAAGAAAATGGAACTTACTCCAAAGAAACTCAGGAGGTTCAGCAAGTACAAAATCCTGACCCTGAGAAGTCCCCACACATAATTCATGCTGAGCAGCAGATCTAGCAGAAAGGACCTGAACTTTATGGGAAGCACTACCTTGAACACCAGCCAGCTGTGCACTTGCATCATAAATAAAGAAACCTTAGGAGAAATGGAGCCAGGAGATTAAATTGGCATTAATCCCCTTCACTTGGCCTGACTGTAGCTGTACCTGCAATTTTGTGTCTAGCTTTCCCACTTGAAGCCCACTCAGTTCAGGACAGGTGTTAAAAAATTGGAAAAGATCCATAAAATGCTACTTAAGAAGGTCAGGGATCTACAGTAAATAAACTGTGAGAAATTGAATAAACTAGGCTAATTTAATATGAAAATTCATATGAATTTAATTTAAGGAGTTTCAGGAGCCTACCACTACTGGGAAACATTTGCAAAGGTTACAGTAATAAACCCTTTATAGTCCTAAATTATCTGCTTGGTGACAAAAGCCACACATCATGGCATGGGAGGCTCAGACTGAGCCCTACTAACGAGTTTTTAGCATTGGTGATACATCATCAGAGCACGTAACCCAAAAAGAGGTGAAATACCTGTCCTTGATGGTTTTCAAATTATGCCTTGACAAAGCTGTGTCTGACCCAGTCTGGTGATGGCAATGGTAAAGCTGCAGAACAGGAGGTTGGATCTGCAAGGGCTATAATAAAGGATGTAATAAAAGTAAAATTCAAGGGAATCGGAGCCAGATCAATTCAAAACAGGAAGTAGACACACAATTTAAAATTGTAATTAAAATAAATCCTAAAGGGTTTTTTTTCATATCGACAGTGAAAGATTTTGTTGACTATATGCTTATGCAGCTTTTCAAAGGACAAAATAGGAAGATGATATTAAATGTCCTTTCTCAAACATATTAATTTCTAAAATTCTTGTGGAGTACAGTTTCTTATAAATTTGCAGGAAAGATTTTGAGACAGGGTGATTCTTTAGCCTAAAATCTTTGAATAAGAGCATTAAATATTTACAGCAGCACCCAAATTTACTTATTTTGCTATCAATTTTTATCTAATACATTTAAATAGTATGAAAAATCGGTGTTTACAGAATTGTTGAGTCCACATCTCAAGAAGAGCAGTTCCATACTACTTAATGTTCTGTAATGCAAAAATCATCTTGTTCAAATATTTACAGTAATGTTGTTCTCAAAGTTTTTGATCTTACTGAAAACAGTGAGAATTTTGCCATAGAGAGTAACACAATGATTCTCTCATGAAGCTGTAAGTCACTATGGAGAAGGTTTAAAAAGCAGACTTGCTAAAGTATGTAGTAGATTAATTAAAAAACTGAACAACATATCAAAAATTATTTTACCTTGTGTTGCTAAGACACAAACTCTTGAAATCTCACTAATTTCCATATTTTAATATTTCATTTGTATGGTAATTTAAGAGACATTTTCTCCTGGTATAGATAGAATTTTGTTATATCCATGGAACTGTGTTTTCTGACTGATATAAAGTGTTTGGGATTAAATTCTGTAGCTCACTGCAATTGCATGCTTACTTTAAAGCTTGTAGTTTACTTTTATACATTTGTGTTTGCATCTTGATCATCTCCCTGAATGGAGTTACTTTTGCAGTATGAGATTAATTTATCAAGGCAACATGAAAGAGAACCAAAGAAAGAAACTTTACAGTCCATATTTTTTGTAAAATTTCATTTTCGTCAGCAAAGAAACTCAATTTTGTTGTTAAATATTTGGGTCAAACACTAAACTAGAATTGTAAAGAGTTCCTTATTCTTATGCCTGGTATACACTGGAATCCTTGCAACATACCTATATAGAAGTGAAAACATGAGTGAATTGTCCATTGCTAAAAACCCTTATATCATAATGCAAAGAGATTATAAAGAAAATACTAATGTCCAGAAACATTAAAAGGTGTAGAGGAAAAACTGAATTTTAATAGCAGCATCCAATTTATGTACCTATCCACATTTTTCAGGTAGGAAAACTTCTATATTGTGATATTTTTCTCTTTTATTTCGCAGCTCAGTTTTCTTATTTCACGTTTTATCTGAAGCAAGCAGCAAGAAATATTATTCTCCTCTAACTGCAGTACCAGCTATCAAACTGTTGTAATATATTTCTGAATCACAGCCTCATTTTTCAAGTAAGGAAGAAAATAATTAGCTAGAGTATTAAAAATCACTGTCAGTGATGAAACTATCCCTCATCTAATTTGTTTTCACAGTGTAGACCTATTCTGCAAATGTGCCCATTGTTTCTTGAGTATCATGCTCTTAGTACAAGAAGCTTAAAGAATTACAGTGCTAGATACTTTTAGAAACAAGACATAGTCCTTAGCTGCGAAGTCTAAATTTACATTTTTTTAAAAAAAGCTGCCATTTAGGCATTTCTTCCTAGATTTAGGAAAAATTTCTTGTCTTGTCTCTAAGAAGATCTGGTCTCCTGGGTATTCAGTTCTTTGGTTTAGAGATTAACCCTCTATTGCTGCTTAGTGCAGTTTTGACAGCCAAGTCTTTCATCACCTTCAAGGTAGTTCTGTGTAGAGAACCTCTTAGTTCTTATTATTTATAATGGATATAAATCCATTTCCTATTTGCTGATGGCTCATGGAAAAATTCAATGCACAAGGAGAGAAAAAAAAAAAAAAACTTACTTATAAAACCATACAAAGTATATTCATGTTCAGAGCAAAATGTTGCAAAGGCTGAATAACCCTTAGAGAACTAATCTAGCTTGACAGTTACACAGTGTTAAAGTTTTTCACTGTTCCTTTAAAAGTTATATAGCTCTGCCATCACTTCTTTTTTTTCTCCATATCTCTAAAGAAAAAACCTATCATACTCTCTGTAAACTGACTGTCCTGTTAAGAATGTACACAAAGACATACAAAAAAAGACAATAATCCCTATTGCTACAAGCATTATGTACCCAGACCTCTTCCCTGGTGGTGTCTGGCAGGAAAAAATTGAATAACACATATTATTTATAGTATTAAAATACTAAAAATTACAATAAACAATATTATTTCATCTTGACCCTGAGGAACTGTTCTGCAGGAAAGGAGACATGATGGGGAAAGCAATTATGCTGCAAAACGGAGCCTGTGTTTACAGAACAGAGCAGCAGGTGAGAACCTAAGGTAAACAAGGAATGTGGCCTTAGATGGTTGAACCTTTTTCTGTTGTGTATTTCTGTCATTCTTTCAGTT